TGCTCTCTCATCACAGGCAATCTTCCTATCACTTCTCCTGAAGATACGCCTTTGCTGGGGTGTAAGGAAGCCTTCAATGACTTGACTCACCACAAAGTATATTTAATAAAAAGAAGGAAGTGCACACCTGTGTGGCTCCAGGTATGACTAGCAGCATGCTAGCTGCTCAGGTTTTATTTTAATCCTAAAGAGCAGGAATGAGTTGAAAATTATAGCTAACTGATTTTCTTATTTTAGAAATCATTGCACCAATATGAACAAGAGGTGCTGAAAAAGCAGATATAAATAGCAGTGAGATTTGCTTATTTCTGCTATTCTTGCTAAGATTTTATTATGTGTTTGTTAGCCTTGATTATATGCCTCGAGGTAGAAAACAGGCTAAAGCAGATTTTATATCAATTGTCTAATGAACTTTATATTATTTCCTTGGTTGTATTGTTGTTTTTCAGAGGAAATTAAAAAGGAAAAAAGAAAATTTTAGCACTATCACTTAGCAGATAGCCTCTCCTAGTAAAATGGTCTTATCTGCTGCGGTTGCTAATCTTAGGCATTGACTGCTATAAATATTACCACTATTTTTCTTTCTGAATCTCTCTTACTAAAAAAGTCAAAGCACACCCTATTTATTGTCCAATTTTGAAAGTTCATGGATTCATGTATGAACTTAAATATCAACTTAATTTTCTGAACTTTTTCCCCCTTTTATGAATCACAATACTTACTTTAACAGTGCTTTTTAATGTATTTGTAGATATTGCAGTTTGATGAATACATAATGAATAAAATCACTAGCAGACTTTTCCTCATGTTTCATGTCACCTGACAAACAAAAAAAAAAGCCCTGACAAAGAAGTTTTAGACAGTATTTCTTTTATGTTTTTGGAGTGAGTGAGTCTGTGTAAAAACCATAAGCTACAGAAAACCTGAAACCATAAACTACCTTTCGGTTTAGATTTTACAAAATACTAAATACCAAGGGGAAAACAAAAAACTAGACTTATCTTACAAGAATGCTGTAAAATATTTTTTAATAAAGAAGAATGAATAAAAATTTAATTATAGGAATTTTTAAAATTTATTTTAAAAATCTTTTTATTGCACCAGCAAAAAACTATGACAAAACAGAAAGTAGATTAGAATCCAGAAGTAATCCTATAGAAACAACAGGTCAATGAAGCAAGAAAATAGTATTAGCTAACATGTGAAAACTAAGCAAAGGTTTCCCTTCTGAAAGGCAATGATCAGGAAAATCAAAGCATGAGGATATTCTGACTAGCTTAAATTTTTACTGGGTTTACAAGTCAATGTCTTCACAGGGATTAGTGCCTTCCTGTATTCTGCATTTCTCACTCCACATTCAGTATTATAAAAGGACTGAGTAATTCAAATGCCTTAACTTCTGAGTTTTACAAATCTCCAATCTTCAATAAAAATTAATGTGTAAACAAAGGTGGATTATAAAATACCCTGTCTGCTGTTTCTCTGTATAACAACTTACAATATGACAGAGGTTCTGTGACCAAATTCTAACTTCAGAGAAAAATATTCTCTCAGAGTGGAACATAGTCCATAGAGAAAAGTATCTTCCATTTTGATCTTTGGATTGCTTCACTGACATTGAGAAATCAAGATACAAAGAAACAGTCCATAGATAAAGAATAAAATAACCTGTTCATAAAATAAACAGGTTTGTTTTTCTTTGGTTTGGTCTTTTGTAGTCCCGTGGACTGCTGTTGTCTTCAATTGCACAGGAAGCAGCAACACTTGGGGAACGTTAAACAGGTCTGTCCTGAAAGTAACCTGGGGCTCCATCATGCAGAATGAAAAATGAAAGGTAAGGACAAATGCAAAGGGAATGCAGGGCACAGTGCAGGAGAAAGCTACTTAATAAATATTTGTAAATGGGACTGCTCTTCTTGAACATGCATGAACATGCTAGAAAAATTATATGATCTCTGGGGCCCCTGTCTTTTCAGACCAGATGCTGAAAATTCACTTTTCGCTCAATATATCTCTACCTCTGAAGTATACCTTCAGACATCAGAAAAGAGGAAAAACATTGGAAGTGTAGAGTGTAACAGATGACATGTGTGATAAATAGGAAAGGGAAGAAAAAGGAGCAATACTAAGATTACACTTAAAACCTACAGTGTTAATTGGAATTGAGTCATGGTGCGTTTTTTTTTTCTTGGAAAAATAGCAATTTGTCATCAGATTTGGCAGAAGAGTAGCATGCATAAAAGAAAATAATATTTGAAAGTAGAACAAGCCGACATGGCACCAAGTGAGATAAATGCTTAGCTCATAATCATTAACTCCTGGCCTAGCTACTGCTTCCTATTGCCAAAAAATCAGGACTTGGAGATGAATTATATAGTCTATAAATAATAGTTCCAAGATGCATCAGAAAATAGTTGTAACTTTATTTGCCCATGATCATTAAAGTGCTATAAAAACAGAAGAAAAAAGAACATCTCCTCTTGGGAGTCCTAAATCACAGATTTGTACTGGTAGCTACAAATTTTTTGCTGCAAAAGTAGCTAATGCCCTGGTTATTCATGAACCAAAGGCCTGCTCCTGTTGGCAATATTTTCCATCTACCTGCCTGAACAGAAAAGCCCTGCTGTTCTTAGAAGGGAGGGAAAGTGGTTGCAGCATCTTCTAGATGACAGATCAAAAGTGTTCTGGACTTCTGCCTCAGCATGAAGCTGATCTAGTGTGCAAAGCCATTTATTTAGCAAGATAACCATCTGGCCAGAGTAGGTTTGATGAGGTAATGGTTTTATTAATTTCTTATAGTAAGTATGATGAGTAGACAAGGCTGCCTATGGCACTCAGATATGGGTATTTCATCTTTACAAAATCACCTACCTTCCTTTCTGGTGCAAAACCTGATGATTTTCAGTGTATCAAAGGAGCTTCCCAGTGCCTCACCGTGAGCATGGGAAAGTCCAAACTTGCTTTTCACATCTGCAGAAAAGTCACTTCATAATCACCAAGACTGAAGCAAAAAAAGGTTATTTGCTCCAGACTCCTTTATTTTTAGTATGCATGCTATCTGCACGTTCTTCTAACTTTGCTGAAGATTTCTAAAGATTTGTTGCTCTCAATCAGAAGAAGCTTTCACATTCCTTGGCAGCTTGTCTGAAAGTTGTCCCCCACAGTATTTAAAAATGGTGACCTGTTCCTTAGCTACATTTCCATCTTAAATTTCCATCTACAAATTTTACCTGTGCCTTTATTTTGAGCATAAAAGGGTATCCAGGACTGAGCATCTTCACTGCCTAAAGGAGCAACAGCAAAACTCTTTGCTTTGCTAAGTGTGCAAATCAAACTCCTGAATCTTTCCCTGTGCTGCTCTTCCAGTCCTGAACTAATTTATATAACTTTTACCTCCAATATCTGCAAGATTTCAGTGTATTTTTAGAAAAGAGGATGCGAAAGGTAGACAGAATTGCACTGTGAGCAAAGCTGCTTGTGTTAATGGAATAATGAATTTTTAAATTTTGGAAGAAATTTTAAGGTAAATTCAGACTCCATAATAACCTAAGTAGCTGAGTAACATAAACTAAGGAAAAGGAGCTCATGTGCCTCTAAGGACATGGTGGCCTTTAAGAGGTCGTAACTAAAGAGATACGGTGATCAGTCACGGGCAAAATTTCTTGTATATGAAATGCGAGGAATGTTGTAAAGGCTGCTACCAAATGACATAAGGGTATCGCCTTTTTCAATCTGCAAAACTAAATGTCTAATGTCTAATAACAATGTCCAGTGTATCCAATGATTATCTTATGGACATGGCTGCAAGTTCTGCAGTCTCTGATGCAGAATGGCCAATGCAAACATGGTCATCAATGCAAGCGTTTTGTCTGCTTCTGTGCTTGCTTTACCTCCATCACTTCACCACTCTAACCTCTTAATAATAAAGCTTCCTTTACCCTTTCATTTTACTTCTCTGATCTTCATCTGGAATTCATGTTGGAAAGCGCCAAACCTAAATGAACTGCCCCAGGTAAGGAGTGAGCATTGAGAAACACTGAATTTGAGAGGGACAGAGGTCCTCTTGGTCTCCAAAGAGCTCATCAGGTTGCTCCTGAAGGTTCTGAAGGTCATCAGTACATCATTACTTCAGAAGTGTTGGGTCTATTATTAGAGTTTGTCAGGGATATGGCTGAGAAGCCATGAGTGATCCTGATCTCGGTTATTCTTCTTTAATTCTGCCACCCCGGTCTCAGCAAAGCTGGATGCTGTTCCTTTGTACATGGTGAATGGATTGTCTGCGCCAGGTCTTTCCTCTGCTTCTGCATGGTGACTTCCTTAGTGTTGGGGTCCAGCCCAGGTTGAGCAGGACCACAGACAAGCTGCGGCTGGGGTCACTGTGTTCTGGTGACACACCAGGAACAAGAGCCATGCACAGCTCTTTGTTTGTGCTACACCCAACCATCACCCCCTGATGAAACCACAGCAACCTCTGCTGGTGCCCAGGAAGACACAGCTTCAAGGCATGGAGGGATTCATACCAACTTTGGGTATGTTGCAGTGGTTAGACCAAGGAAAGGAACACTTCCCAAGACAGGTTTCCCCCAGTTTTCCTAAATATGTTCTGAACATATGATTCATGACTTACTCATGAGTTAAATTTAGAGCTGCTGAAAGTCAACACTTCCAGAAAACTTGTTTCAGCAGCTCTGTGGGGAGGCATTTCAGTTTGAATGGGGGAAAGGACCAAAGGAAGGTTTATCCAGACAAACACATGGCAGAAAGAGCTGAAGAAAAATCATAGCCTGTTGTTCATGCCTGTGGCCAAAGAAGTGAAGGAGCTGGGACCAATGTCATAAACGCAGCATGGCACAGTTATGTGCTTTATCTAACAATAGGAACCTTCTCCTGGAACAGCCAAAAACTTTAATGATGGTAGAAAGGATGGGCACAACTTGGAAAAGCTATTTAAAAAGATAGTATCGCAAACCAGCACTTGTTGGCGTGTATTGAACAAGCTGACAGAGAAAATGGACTTAGAGCTGTTATGGCAAAATCCAGTGTACTGCACTGCCATTGTCATTTATGGGATAAGGAGAAATTTGGAGGCTCTCTCAGAAGGCAGTGAAATAAGAGTCCTGGCTGCCATGCAGGTGTCCCCATGTGTTGCTTCTGCTGTGACTTGATCTGCAGGATGTCTGTGTGGAGGCAAGGCTTGCCTTAGAAGGGTGTGCACCCAACAGCAGTGGCAAGATGGGAATTGCATTTGCTTTTAGAGTGTGTCCCATGGGAGTCCCTCCCTCCCCTCCCCTCCCCTCTGAGTCACCTGCTTCTCCAAGGATCTGCTTTTCACAGTTCTTTATGCAGATTTGCACAACCCTCTGGAAAAGGTCACTTTCCTCAGAAATGAGGAAGGCCACTGTGCACGTATGCCATGCTTCACTTCTGAGCAAATGCTTTGAAGCTTTCTGTTAAAAGCTTTTATCCATGGAAAAACATAGTTTGCTTTTGTGTTACACTCACTTACGTGGTCACACTGAGGAGAGGCAAGGCACACACACGCAAAGTAGTATGGACTGCTTGCAAATAAATACGCTTCAGTGAGTAGCTATTAGTAGTGTAAACGTTCTTCCTAGAGGCAACTTGAGAAGAGGACCTGGCATAATGTGGGTCCCTTGGTACATGCCAGGATCCCTGGAGCTGGTCAGTTATGTCACTGCCTCTCCTACTGAACTCTGGCAGCTTCTTGAAGAACCCACACTTACCACTTCCCTTACCAGGTTTTGAATTTATCCTTTCCATGTGCCCATGGCCTCCCCTGACTTTGTTTCCTGCACATGTGAAGAAGAGGCCATCCTTGAGTGGTGGCTGAGCTCCTCTACCTCTCGTCCCAAAGGCAGCAGGGTGGGCATGTACCTCCCGCTCCATCTCATTGAGGGTGTAGGGGAGAACATCAGCTCAACTTCTCTATCTGCCTAAATTCAGCAGTGACATCTCCATTTGCCCTCAGTGCCTCTGCTTGCTGCAGAGACGGGACAGCTCAGCCAGCCCTGTGGGATGGCCCAGGGTGGAGAGTGGTGTCCAGACCCTTCCGGAGGCACTGGGGTCGGTGCCGGGGCAGCCGGGTGTGTGAGGTCTGCGCGGCAGCGTGGCAGCTGACCCCGGGCAGCACAGGGATTGAGCGTCTTACGGGCGCTGGGCACCCAGCAGCCGCCCTCAGCTGCCCTCAGACGCTGAACGGGGTCAGGTAATGGCAGAAATTCCTTGGGCTGGCTTACACCTCGGGCTGTGGGATATCTGATCCGATATCTCATGTTTCCCTGCTGGAACCAGGCACAAGCACACCAGCCTCGGTCTCAGCAGTGCTGCCGGATGGCCAGCAGCAGCAGAGGAGCTGCTCTGTGCTCACAGACATAAACACAGATGGGGCTGGCCTCTCTAGCGCCTGTCTTTAATCAAAATCACATGTAGCTCTCTGCAGCCCTAAGGATGCTTTTCTTTTTTTATATATAATTTTTTTTTTTTTTCCAAATGCAAAGAAAGGGTCAATTCCTGTAGCTGTTCTTCAAAATGGAAACCTTGTGAATTAGTTGCAGAATCCAAGCATGCTTGCAAAAGTTAAAACAGTTTTAAAATAGCACAGATCAGTTTTTGTGGATGTCATTATAAATGCCTCATCAAAACTTCCAGGGAAAACCCTGAGAAATGGACTTGTCAATTTTTTTTTTTCTCTTTAGAAGTTTCTGAAGAATACTAATTTTCTTTCAAAGTGTCTTTCAGCCCTATTTTTAGTCTGCTCTTTATACAAGAACTTCTAACCCATAAATACTGAATTTGCTATACTGCAAAGCCTTTGAAAGACAGGACCTGATTGCTTAAGTTCTGGAGGGAGATGGCTATTTTATCTGTAGATGACAGAATGGATCTAATTGTAATATCACATTTGGGGTATTAATTTTCCATTCCAAGTTTTAGTTGTCTTGTGTAGTTGTTGCTTGTGATATAACTCCATTAGAAGTTAATTTTTAAAAAATATTTGGGATTTCTGGAGCTAGAAGTCATAACTCAAAGGAAGTTCCATTAAACCTCACTCTAACCCTGTGTCTTTAGGGGATTTCTATTGGTTGTTATTTCTAAAAATGAGCATATCAACAACCAGCTTATGGGCAAGGCAGGAATTTATCTGTTGACTGTATTACCACTACTGAAATTATTTGCAAGACAAAAGTGCATGTGATTGGTAGAATACCCAAACAAGAGGAAATAGAGTCATTATTACTGAAAAATAAATAAAATATATATCCGTTATATATATATTTATTTATTTATTTATTTATTTATTTATTTATTCATTTTTTAATATGAAAGTAAAATTTTGATCTGAGTGATGCTAAGTCAGCCTACTCCAGCTGGGAATCTGCCCCATCTAGTCATACTCAGAGGGATGGACATTAATCTATTATTCAACTGCACAAAGTTCAGTGGAATAACTGTTCTCACTAATTGCTAATTGGCAAAATTGCTGGTGCTTATAGGAGATATTCTGGTAACAGATAATTAAGCAACTAAGTAGTTGAAAATGTCAGGAGAGAAAAATGATCTTTTCACCTCACTGAGTTCATTTTTAAAACTGTGTAAGCTGAGCTCACTTGGCTCTATACAGCCAGCCTGCAGCTCTGCTGGAGAGGGGTGCTCTGGCCACCAAGCAGAGGGCAAAACAAGGGAAAACCCATTTTCTAGATCCTGCTTCAGCAGCTGCCATTCATGCTCAAAAAGAAAGTACAAATCTACAATTGCTGTATGTAGCTCTTACTTTGACCATCAGACTTCGACCGTCACTTGCTTCCTGGCTGAAAGGTGTTGCTCCCTCCAGCAAGCCATTTCCTCATGCTACTGAATTTGGAAAACCTCTTCTGTCTCTATCATCCAGATATCATCCTAGAACCTCTCCTTTTTTTGGGACATGCCAGAGCAAGGATGGACAAGTTGTTGACTGTAAAGAGGAGGAGAAAGCATTTCTCAGCCTTTGCAACATGGATTGGAGGGAGAAGAGAGTTTAGGCAACAAATGATGACAGGAGCCACAGCACGTTATTTTTGCTTTCCACCATATTTGCAGTTCATGTCTTGGTGTTCCTGAGGACAGCAAGGGAGCAATCCCTGACTCCTTGGAGCCTTGGGGCAATGCAGACAGCACCTCACCTCCTGGTGTTCCAGCAGCCTCTGTGACAGCAGTGTGGACCAAGGCATCAGGGCAAGGTGGTCCCAAGCAACATTTTGAAAGCTGACATATCAGCCCAAAGCCTCAGCGCCTGCTTCAAATCTGTCACAATTTTGGGATATAGAGTACAGCTAGAAGGGCTTCCTTCTGCTACCTCTACTCATCCGTGGCAGCCCCAAGAAGACTGTGCATATGAAACACTGGATACCCTCCAAGCTCACATCTTTCCTGGCAGCAATAGAGCGCTCTGGTACCAATTTCTGCACATCAGGAGAATGCCCTGAACCCTTCTCTCTCTCAGGTGTGAGCCTGTTCCTGTTTGGACCTATTAGTGGTATCACCCAACACCCCCTTGCACTTGTAATCCAGATAGGGAAGAGTGAAGAGTATTTGATGCATTTTGCTGCTGCTCTTTCTGAGTGTGTGTTAATGAGTTTCCAATGAAGAGAGCAAGGCTCCCAATGAATAAGCCTTGCATCCCTAGCTCCAAGATGCTATCCTTGTCTGTATCACTGAAATTCACCTTCCCCTGCAAACATGACTGCCCACCCTGTGTCAATGGCAAGCTGATGCAACAAGGAGCATACGCCTCCTTAACAGTGACTATTGCAGTGAAATGTGATATTGCATCAACATTTGTCTCCAGGATGGCCACAGAAATACATGCACGTCCTTGCTTGGACACGTGTTGTACAGAGAGCAGTGCCACTCAGAACCTTATACTGGGATTTGAAAGGTCAGTCTGGATGACTGGGTACTATTGACATGTAGTCGGAGTGAATTTTCCTTCAGAGTTTGCAAGTTAAAAGTCTTTCAAGCTGCAAGGTTATGAAATAGAGTGACAGATGTAGTATATTACGGGTACACTTAAAAAATTAAAATTTAAATTAAAACCACACTTTTTTCCTAAAATTTATTCTAAAATTAATTTTTAATTTTAAAAAAAAGTAATTTTAAAATTTAAAATTAAAAATACACTTTTCCAATTACTTTCAATTACTTTTTCAATTACATTTTTACAATTTATTGATATTTATTTTTATTGTGTATTCCAATTAAAAACACCACCCTCACTAAGAGTCAAAAAATCTCATCAAAAAGGAGTCCTCTGCCAAAACTCCTGTCTCCAGTAATGCTTCAGCAGGGCAGATGACAGCCTTCTGTCTGAGCTCAGAAAAAAAGGCTGCAGTGGAGTTTAAGTCACACCCATATTGATTCTCATGTGAGTAAGACACAAGACAGTTTTCTCCAGGGATGACCACAATGGCTTTACACAGCTCCTCTATTCAGTCAGGGTTAACTACATGGAGGCAGATTTACTTCTATAAACAGAATCCTTTGAAAATAAATTAATGGACTAAGAGGATAACACATAAGTTGGTGGACATAGGAACTAGCCTGCAATTCTGGGAAATGGCAGAAAGTTTAAAGAATTAGCTAAATACATATATGTTTAGTAGATAAGAAGAGTTCTGTAGTCAGAGACAATTTTACTTCGTTACCTACACTTGGTAGAGGATGAATGAACATGCTGAATCCTCAGGATCCATGTAATGGCATGTTTAGGAAGCTGCAGGACAGACCAAAAGCTGTGGGTACATTAAAAAGGGATTTCTGTGCTGACTTTGGAGTGAATGGCAAGTTCAGGTATCCACTGTTATGGCTTGGGCTTTTGTCATTTCTGCCCAGAGTGGGTGTGCTGAATGTTCTGAACCAATACCTGCTGGGCTGTGACTGGTGCAATACAGCTGAGTGAAAAATAGGCCTTGTAATTGTGTGGCTAATCAAAGAAAAAAAATTGTGGGAAAACCATGAGAAAAATACAAGAAAATTTAAAGAATTTAATTAAAATAATTCCAAAATGCTGGCTGTCACGTAAAATATGTTCCAGTTTTATTTTATCGTTGCTTAATATTCTCAAAACCTTTTTTTTTTTCATTTTAGAGAAGGGGACACCTGGATCAGTTTTGAAGTGGAGCGCAGTGTTACCAAAGAAGAAGTAAAAATGTTTTGTTTATAAAAATATAGAATGGCCTGGTTTGATGGGATCTGAAAGATCATCTCATTCCAACTCTCCTGCTGAAGGCAAGGACACCTTTCACTAGGTCAGGTTGCTCTGAGTTCATTTCAACCTGGCCTTGAACACTTCAAGGCCTGGGGCACCTACAACCTCTCTGGGTAACTGTTGCCAATGCCTTACAACCCTCCCAGTAAAGATTCTTTTTCCTAATATATGATTTCCTAATATACTCTCGTTCAGTTTGAACCCATCCCCCTTGTCCTGCCACTGCATGCTCTTGTGAAAAGTCTCTCTCCATCTTTCTTTTCAGGTACTGGAAGGCCACAATTAGGTCACCCTTAAGTTGTCTCTTTTCCAGGCTGTACAATCCCAATTCTCTTAGCCTTTCCTGACAGAAGAGGTGCTCCAGCCCTCTGATCATCTTGGTGTCCCTTGGTGGCCTCCTCTGGGCTCACTCCAGCAGGTCCTTCCTGTGCTGGGACCCCAGAGCTGATGCAGCCCTGCAGGTGGGGTCTCAGCAGAGCAGAGCAGAGGGGCAGAATCCCCTCCCTGGCCCTGCTGCCCACGCTGCTCTGGATGCAGCCCAGGACACGTTTGGCTCTCT